CATAAAAGCTATGTTGAGTTTGCAATTGCTTTTGTGTATGATTACACTTTCTATTAAACTTAATAAAGAAAGATTAAAAAATAACCTTTAGGAGAAGACTAGAAAGTTTTACCCTTTATTCATAATAGCAGATATTCTATTAGCTTGAGATTGACTCCAGCCATACAAGACTGCTCACTTTCAGAGAAAAATTAACTTGTATTGAAACTATTTAAAATCTTGAATACATCTTTTATTAATGATAATAATATTTTGCATAATGTGCCTTGCTATGATGTTAAATTATGTAGCTTTTTATTAACAAATTATCATATCAGAAATGTACGAAACACCACCTACCGTAGGAGTGCAGGAAACACTATATTCAAATATTTCCTCTCTATCTTAATAATACAACAATAGAGAACAGTAAAAAATTCATGAGAGATGGGGCAAGTTGCACAGGAGTTTCATTCTTTAGCAGTTAAGTACTACTATTTTTGGAAAGGCAGAAGGGCAAAATTGTTTGAAAGAAGAAAGCGAATAGATAAGAACAGATGGAAAAGATTTTTTTCTATTTTTATTAAAAGAAATGAAATCATTAAGAAGTACTTTTAATGAAAGCTGAGTTAAATGTCATTCTAAAAAAATATTATAATCTGACGAGCATATAGTGATTTTGTGCCTTTATTTTAAAAATTTAGTTATTGCAATAGACAAATATGAGATAATATGAAATAAAAATACTGTCTATTCAATCAATTTCTTTCAGAAGATGGCTTAATGAAGAGATTTATTTAAAAAAAAAAGCAACTTACTACAATCTTTAAGTTCAATACCTCTAGAAAATTATTTAAGAATTGATAGTCCATGAATAAGTGAAGAATATTACTGAAAAAACATATCAATAGATATGTTATATTAATCAATATCAATAGAAGCCCAATCTCAAAGATTTTTCAAGGCTATGATTCCTTTGCATGGAGAAAGGCAAAATGAATGTTGGAATTTTTTCCTCAGTAAGTCAAAAGTTTGGGTCACATTGAGCCCACTCTGACCACAGACCTCCTCATTTATTCCAGGCAAAGAAGATTACCTCTCCACTAGCAACAGCACAGCCATTCCACAGAATTTCAGAGGTGAATGCACAAGCAAGAAAATGAACAAGTTGTTGCAGTTCCAGGATGTGACCAATCCAGTATTTTCATGTGATCATAGTGCACTGACCCCTGATGATAAACTATACCTAAGCATCTTGTTGCTGAGTAATCCAAAACAGCTTTTGAGTACTTTTCCAGTCTTCTCTTAGACTTATGTCTCAAAACCATAACTTCTTAAGCAAGAGGCAGTTCCTCAGTTCTCTTGTCTGTATAGTAAATGAGGGTTCACTTTGGCTATACTTAAATTTTTGGAATGAGACATCATGTCACTCCCCATTCATCTGGAACCTGAATTCACATGAAAAATAAAAAAGAAAGAAAGGAGAGAAGATACAACCACCAAAAGCTGAGTTAAGATGCATACCCAGACATGGGATCCTAAATCTCTCACTTAAGAACTGAGACATATTTAGCTTTTGAATACTGTAACTATGGTTCACACTTTTGCAGAGAGTGTCAGTTATCCATCAGCAATACATAGAAATTGGGACCGTCTACATGACTTGAGATGATAAAGAAAGTGTTGAACATGAAAGGCACTTTTAAAAAATTGCATGTTTTATAACAACACCTAACCCTGATGTATACAAACCTATAGATTTTTAGACATAAAAAGCATATGTATAGTTAGAGTACTACTAAACTTCCTTGGTTTTCAAGGAAAAAAACATATTTTGCTGTAATAGGATAATAAATACTTAAAACATTCCAGAACAATAATAGTAACAAAGATTTTTTAACTTGCATAATACCAACAAGCAGATTTTTAAAAATATTTCCATAAACATCAGCATCGAAAGGAGAGATTACACAGAAGGATGGTATTGAAATCTATGTCTATATTTTTTGCCCTAATTTACAATATTATAATAATCCCAAATAGTAGTTCATCCACTTTTTTTGTTTGTTTGTTTTTGGCACTGAAATGTTGTAGCGGAAATGGCAGCTGTTAGTTATGAATCTATTCAGACACCTGATCCAAAACTGAATTAGTAGAACACTAATCAGAGTGCAAACCTACAGTTATGTGTCCTAATCACTCTTAAACAACTCACCCCTATAATTTACATACCTGGTATTAGCTTCTCTTGGATGGAATTCCCAATTTGAGAAATTCTATTTTATCTTCAATAAGCTTTTGAACTTCTCTACAAACTGTTAATCTTATTAAACATCTCTTCCTTAATCTTTGATATTAGCTCTTTGACAATTCAGTTCTTTCAGAAGTTTTTTGCATTATTTTTATTTCATTACTTTTGTCTTCTAGCTTCCTTTTTTTCAGTCATTCTCTCTTAAAGTTCTGAATCACACAGCTACAAAGGACTCATTAGAAACAAAAACGTAATTATTTATCTTTATTTCCATTTTTTAAAAAAGCTTAAGAACTAACGTATAATGTGTTAGAACATGAAGTTTTATCTATAATTGTAAACGGTCTAAGAGGTTTAAAGAAAAACAAGACAACCCACAGCTTGAAAAATAGCTTGCCATTATTATCTTCACATGAATAATGTCCATTTCTTATAATTCATGGTAATTTGTTGTTAGTATTCTGGATTTAGTGATTTAAACACATAAAATCTACAGCTTAAGTGACACATCAGTAAATGTCTCTCTAAAAAAAAGTCTATGTCTTCCAAGTGGCACATAAATCATGTGATATTGTAGTTTCTATAGTAACAAGTCCTTTTTTTTTCTCACCGAACAGCAGAGTAAATTACTGTACAATATATTCAAAACTTATTAGCTGCACTAACATTCTGGTATCTTCCATACAAATCTCCTTTTCAACAGAAAGAGAGAAGATTGCACCAACCAATGTCCAATTTTTGGACTAATCAAGCATTTTGAGTCTGCAGTGATAGAAGATATGACATAAAACTATGAAGCCCCTCAACTTTAAACTGTGAAGAAGTGCATGTTGCTATCACTAGCCTGTGGCAGGAGGGTTGGAACTTGGTGATCCTTTGGGTTCCTTCCAACCCAAGCGATTCTATGATTCTATGACAGCAGTATGCAGTAATCTGTACCACCATTTACTCAATGTTTGATGAATAGTTCTAATAACTGGCATAACAGTGTACCTTCCAGTATGTCATGCTGTAGACATGCTCTAAAAAGGCTGCAACATCAGGACTTCATTTATAAATATGCAGGAAATGTAAGCTTTAACTCTAAGCACCCCTTTTTTTTGCATTCATTTTTCAGGGCCTAAAAATGTACAAATGGCCTCTTGAAAACTTAGTCCTTCACTTTCAAAAACTACAGGACTGCAAATAGCAGCTGTACTTGCTAATTTTGTCTTCTGAAAATAAAGCTGACTAAATACCTCCAAAGTATTATTGAGATTTAGTGATCTTCAAAAGCTTTTTCCATATATCTTTAATTCAGACACACACATTAATGTAAATGTGTGGTTTAATTCCATGGTGAATTCGGCCTGAAATATAGATTAACAAAATTGGAAACAGCTGTGCAAGAAACCACTTTCCTCTTCCATTTATAGTATTCTATCCCAATATAAACTCCACCATTTTAGTATAAAATGACACCCCCCCATCCACTTTCTCTTCTCATCCAGATGTTTATGGATTTTTCAGATAATCTCCAGTAAAATTACCAAAATCAACAAAAAGTCTTAACATGTAAATTCAACATATTGTTTCATGCTCATCATGGCCTTTTCTGCATCAGTGCCAATCCTCATTAGATTTCAGATGTACTTCGGTCGACACTGCTACAGAAAAGAACTCTGACTCATCATCTCTTTGTGGGCTGGGTTCTTATTTAATTTTTTTGTCTGATTCATGAGCTGTTTTTTTGAAATTCTAAAAACAGTCCATGAATTGCTTGAAAGATGAGAAAATTAATAACAATGATCCAATTTACTGTACACTGAATTGAACTGATTATCATGCAACATACCGATAGACTTTTTCGTAGCAAATAAGTTCTATAGACAGAGGTTTTGTTTCCCATCATACTGGACATGTCATTATACTGTAAAATAATCATTAAGCTCTTAGGCCAAGATCCAGCAAAGTGATTAAGCGCTTGATAGTTAAGCAAACTGTGAGGGGAAACTACAGAGGAGTCAAATTATATTCTTTATTTTAGCTATAACTTAAACTTTTGCGATACGCATACTCTTAAATGTTTTAGTTTATTGTCTGTACATTTTAAGAGTACTACTATGTAAATTCATAATGCCTTGGTTTTTAGTAATCTATTTGCATGTTTATTTTTATGGAAATATTTGTCTATTTTTAGACTGTCTAAAACATCGTGTTTTCCTCTGACAGGTCAACAGCTAAATTCACCTCCAATTACTCATAACTGAAAACTTTTTTGTATGCTTGATTTGTCAGACTTTTGAACTAAATGAAATGCTGCATTTTTTTTTTTTTTTTCTAATAAATAGGTTACATGAGTCTCCAGTATAAGCTGATCAATCCATTTGCCTGTAGAAAGAATAATTAACTGAAGAAAATGAAGAGCTAGTTTGGGAATTTTCATTTTCAGCCAGTAGCAAACATATTGGTTTTATTCTAATGATTTCTGTAAACTAGGAACTTTCCTTAGTCGTAACCTCTCAATGCAGCAACTCTGTTTTAAATTATTTAAATGTGTTTGTTAAGTGGAATAGGTTACTGTAAGCAAAAGGAAGCATTCACTGTAGATAGACAGGCTCTGCAGCACTGTATGTTACCATGGCTAGCACTTAGGTGACTGTAGAGGAAATACAAAGTAACAGCTTGAAACAGTGATTGAACACCTGATGGGAAGGCAGGGCCCACCCAAAGGAGCTCAGGTGCATGCAATGCACTCAAGTGACTGGAAGGAGTGGAGCCAGGATCCACCCCTTCCCAGACCTCATTTAAGGGTTGGCAGTAGGGGTGAGATTATTTTGTTGAAGATCTCTGCTTATGAAAGGTTCTTCTAAAGGTAATTAGCTTTTTTTTCCTTTGCTTCTGTATTTGAGCTTGTTCTCATTTGCTGCAGTTGAAGATGTTGCTACCCTGCTTTTATTGCTGTGCTTTCTGTCATGTTATAGTGTTATACTGGCTAAGACTTGTAGTAAACCATAGAATGTAGAACTGAAGGGTTTATGACACTAGATTGAAGTTCAAACTAAAAAGCTGGTTAACCATGCTGATAAAGGAGTTATCTGCAGAAAATTACTATTGAATTTCTGAGAATGGAGAGTCCTGCAATTGTGGACACTGTTTTCCATTGCTTAATCTTACCTTATTAATCAATTATCTCAGCAAAATATTCAGGAAGATATAATTATACAAAAACTTGATAATTTTAAATAATTATCAATAATAAAAGTACTGTTTTTAAAAAAAAAAAAAGCCACCAGGAAAGATCACCAATCTTTTTGCTTTAACCCTTAGGATTTCTATTAAAGAACATGATCTTCCTGCTACAGTATCTACTTTTGTACTAGCTAGTGTGTTTGATGTAGAGCCTGTTCCTGAAGGAGCAAGTTGAGCATTACTGAGGTGTACTTACTAATCAGACTCTCAAGGGAAGATAACAGGATCACTGAGATATGATGCAGGGATGATAGCTTCTGAAGTGTTCAGTAAGCTCAGGACAGTTATTTCCTTTATTTCCCAGGCATAAATATTTGTGCTTTTTCTCCCAGGTTACTGAGGTATTTAAACATATGTGCTTAATGAGTTTTCTTGAAGGCATTATTTTATCTAACGTACCAGAATGGAGTCTGCCTCTGTTGCCTGATACAGGCTCACAGAGAGCGAGTTATGTTTATTCTGCAGCAGCGGTACATACCTTAAGATATTCTTACAATCTTATTTAGCTGATGATATGATTCAGATTTTTACTGTATTCATTTTCATAGGAACTGAACAGCTAAGAACAAATACCTAATTTGAAAACATGAATTTTACTTAGAATTTGGGAAGTGAAGTAAAAGATATTAGAGGCTAGCATAAAAACTTAGGAATTTTGGTTTCAATTATTGCTTTCTACATTGCTTCTGAAGGTTGATATCCCATGACAATGAATTCTGATAAGTTGGTCTAGCTGAATGTCTATTCTTATGCATTTAACTGTGTGTATAACAAATACAGCTGTGTCACAAGGGTGCGTAGTGATAGGACAAGGGGGAATGGTTTTAAACTGAGACACGGGAGGTTTATGTTAGATATTAGCAGCAAGTTTTTCACTCAGAGGGTGGTCAGGCACTGGAACAGGTTGGCCGAGGAGGTTGTGGATGCCCCATGCTTGGAGGCATTCAAGGCCAGGCTGGATTTGGCTCTGGGCAGCCTGGTCTAGTGGTTGGTTACTCTGCATATAGCAGTAGGGTTAAAACTAGATGATCATTGTGGCCTTTTTCAACCCAAGCCAATCTATGATATGATTCCATGAATACTCTGACAGATTTAAGAAAACTCTCATTCTATCTTCACTTCATGGGATATCTGTTCCTTACAGTAAAATCTTTGTTCAATACTGCAAGTCTTCTGCTAAGTAATGCGTACAGAAAATCTTTTCCTTTTTTCCTTAATAAAACAAATATTCAGTTAAAAGTATTATTCTCTATTCAGTTCTGTTTAACAGATTTCCTCCCATGGAGCCTCAGCAAATTACTCCAACAGCTTCCAAATTGGTAAATTAATACCTGATCCAATATTTGGCAATGTCTAATGAGATAAAATCATTAATCACTGCTTAGATATAAATGTATAGTAAGTAGATGTAGGTATATATGTATGTAAGACGTGGCACGTAAAACCTTCACAAGAGCAATAGATATGATAAAGATGAGGTGTGCAATTACACAGTATTAGAAGAAATGAAAAATAAATTTGAAAAGGCCCTTCAGGATTACTTCAGACAGAACTTAAAAAAAAAAAAAAATACTGTACATCGTGTGGAATGAAGGCATGAACAGGTTATCTCTATTCTCAATGCTAATTTTAAATTTATTACTTCACATTTGTTTCATTACGTTTCACAAAGGTAAAGCCAATTGTTTTTTTTCTACTTGCGATCCCCCCATAAACATGAAGTTCTGAGTGTGAATAAGAGGGTTAGGGAATGTTTTTCTAAAATACACTATGAATAAGATTTCTGCTTAACAATTATTTGGTACAGAATTTCTTATCGCTATTAAATAATTCATACGGCAAGATCATCTAGAAGACATCAACATAAATAAGGATCATTTCTCATCATGTACTGTGCAAACTGCAGAAAATGCATGGTCTCCTACATAAAAAAAAAATTAACAATAATTATGGGGAGCTATCTTGCTCAATTCTGGGGGTTTAATTTGCCTTAGGAAACTTTCTGCTTTTGTTTGAACAATGCCATTTTTACGATCTGCACAGGCCAAGCACCGAAAGGGCTTTTTTTGTGCATTCATCACATTGATCTATTTGAAAAATAAAACTAAGCATAGAAACAAACAGTGCTATACTTTATTCAAACTCTTAGAACAGTACTAACAGTCTGGAAAAAAAAAATTCCTATCTCTTTCAGAATTCAGAAATTAGTGCATTCTACTTTTTCATCATTAAGGTATTTTGAAAGTAGCACAAAAACACTCCTGGGTTGTGTATAATTCTCGGTACAAATCAACTGTTTTCTGGAAGTGCAGAAAAAAAAATGAAGCAAGCTTAAATTTTATTTTTGTTTGAATGCGCAATTAATTTCATTGAAAGACAAATATACCTAAAACCAAGAAGCAGTAATACTAACAAAAGGAAAGACAGACAAAACTGAAGGAATTCAAAAAGACAGAATGTATATGAATAGTAAAAACTTGCAATCTGCTAAATAAATTCTTGAGTTTTTTTATCTGTTCCTAACTGTTCCCTTGTAAACACAGTTACCGTTATAAACTTAGTTTCATCAATTCACCAAATTTAATCCAAAATCTGCAAGTACTTGAGGAGTACTTAGACATTCACATACTTATTCTCAATGTTTTAGTGCATATCAGTCTATTCAGTTTGATATATGTATACCTTTTCTATTATATCATGTATTTTCAAACACTTGAAGCACACATGCTTCACAGTGAATGTCCTCCTGCAAGTATTACCAGTTTTACTCAAGAACTGAAGCCAAATAATTTTAGGTAAGATTTTAAAGGCAATTGAAGGAGAATGTTTAAAGACTTTTTTCAATATTACAGATCTATTTTAAAAAATAACACATACTTTAGAGTCTCAGAAATATTTTTCTATTAAGAATTCTTCCACAGCTGCACAATTTCTCAATTTTTTTCTTTAGTAAAAACTTTAATGATGTCCATCAGATCTAATTGAATCAGCCATTTTTCAGGCCAGAAATTCATTGTTACATACTTTAATTTTCAGTGTGTGAAAAACTGTGTTTATTGTAAAGGCAAAGATCAGCAGTTTTTATAATTCCATCTGGTATTATTGTATCTCTCAAAATCTAAGTAGAGTTAGGCTGGATGACAGAATCAGAGGATTACAGAATTGTTTGATTTGGAAGAGACTTTCAAAGATCATCTTTAAAGGTCCGGTTCTTCTGCAATTAACAGGACACCTACAGCTAAATCAGTTTGCTCAAAGTCTGATCCAGCCTGACTTTGAATGTCTTCAGGATGGGGCATCTACCACTTTTATCAGCAACATGCTTGAGTGTTCACTGCCATTATCATAAAACCTTTTTCCTTATATTCAATCTAAATCTCCCCTCTCTGATTTTGAAACTGCTTTCCCCTGTGCTATCGCAACAGACCCTGATTGTCTGTTCATGTGTTTTTTTTCTAATGGCCTTTCAGTGCCTAAAGAGGAGGCTATTGTCAGGCCACTCTTCTTCTTGATGCAGACCAGGACATAGTCAACTTTTTGGGCAACAATGGCACATTACTGGCTCATGTCAACTTTGACATCCACCAATGTTCCCGAGCCTTCTCTAGCAAGGCTGTGCTCAATCCTTTTGTCTTCCAGCTTAAACTTGCATTTGTTGAACCTCATGAGGTTCTCCTCTACCCACTGCTCTTGCCTGTCTCGGTCTCTCTAAGTGGCATCTAGATTTCCATCCAGATACTGAAAGAATAATAAATGTTTCAGTATCATCTTGCAACCAGTTTCTCATTCTGTCAAATTGTACCTCTTCAATTTGGAGAGGATGTTGTGGGGGACTATGCCAAAGGCATATTGAAGTGCAGACAGATGACATTAGTGGCTCTTTCCTGGTCCACAGATGCAGTTGTGCTGTCATAGAAGGCCAGTAAGTTGGTCGGGCAGGATTTGTCCTTGCTGAAGCTATGCTGGTCATCTTGTTTCACCTCCCTCACTTCATATGCCTTAGCGTAACTTCCAGGGGGATTTGTTCCATGATTTACTCCAACACAGAGGTGAGTCTTAGGATCATCATATGCTTACTGGCAACATAGTCATACTGACCAAAAAGAGGAGTCAATTTTTCCAGTTGATATTCTATCCTTCACATTTAATGCCACATTCTATGTCAAATTATTCAGAACAATATAAGAACTGCAGAACATGATACTGGATGACACTCATTGCTTGATTTTATTTACTCTTTGTTGATCACAAGAGTGGTTGAGTGGAGTTGCTTGTCATCAACAAAGACATCATGATTTCCTGATTGCTTTACAATTAGAAATAAAGTGTAAAAGGAAAAAAAAAAGTATATGTAACATTCTAATGTGGTGTTTTAATTTAAATTGTTTATTTTATTACAGTACAAGAGAAAACATTTTCCTATCAGTATTTATGTAAGAATAGGAAAAAAAGTTGTACAAAACCTTCAGAGAAGCATTTATAAGCAGGTGGAGAGCAAACAAATTACAACCTAAGATAGGCAACATTAAGGAGGTCTTCTCAGAATCACAGTTTGTTACATAGGTACGTATGTTTTACCTTTTTTTCTTTGACCTTTTCTAGAGCTTCTATAATTAAAGAAACATTTTTCATATGGCAAGCATTGTACTTAACACTACCGGTGTCCTTAGGGGATTTTTACATACACTGGGAAAAATAGTAACAATTAGGTTTTTCTTAATTTTTAGGAAATGCTATATTTAGAGCAAATGAAAACAATGGATTTGTTAGATTAATTTTCTAGAATAGATGCATGAGGATACTGCCTGGTGTATATCTGAACAATAATAGCTGCTATTTGGTGAAATAGAACAATTGCACATAATGATTGTTCTGAAGGTTAAATCATGCTGAAGAGAACAAGAACTTTAAACACTTATAAAATTGCAGATATGCTAAATTAATCTATCTGATCTTAACATTGATAGCTAACGGTAGCAAAGTAACAGAATAATATTTGTATAGGTCTCTCAATGCTCTTCAGTGTAGTGTGCTGGTAAAACATAAAAACTATTTGAATAATTCAATGCAAGTTTATAACTTGCATTGAATGTGCCTTCTGTGATAGTCTGAAGTACTGTTTTCATTAGGTGCAATGCATTCTGCTCACATCATAGGATAAATCTTGGAAGACCAGAAAGAACTGTTCACAGTGATAATTAGAATGGGTTTGAGATTGGAAACTAATGTATAGTAAGTAACTGAGGCCTAAGACCTAGTATCAGAACAGAATTCCTTATAATAAAATGAAACATATGCCTACCAGATTTAGAACTTTACAAAATTTCATCTTTTCCTTGCAGTTTTCAATGGCAGAAATAATGAGCATTGACTTATGCCACAAGTAAATAACTTATTTTCACTATTGAGGTACAGAAAAATTCCCAGAACTTCTTAAGTCTTTGAATATATAAAGGAGAATGAAGTGCTTATTGACTGGAAAGATTAGTCTAGCATGTGATACCAAATTTATGACAGCAAATTAGAGGTCCATATTGGTTTTAAACTTTAAACATTTCGTGCAGAATATGGGCATTAAAACATAATACTGAGTATGAAATTCCATTTCATATAATAATTAACAGTTGATCACTCCAAAAATATATACATTTAAACAAGATATAAACACGTGCTATGCTTCACATTTTTTTAATTGAAATACAGATTATGAATCTAAGTTTTACTTTAACTTATACCTAAAGAGGTTTAATTTTAGGAATCTGAGATCATGGATAACTACGGTTTTATCCAATGTAGTGGTAATTTATTCTTAAAATGAAATATTGAAATAGGCATAAACCTGAAAAAACTCAGTTGAAATTTCTGGCCAGATTTGCAGAGGCTAGTAATGGTTTAGTTATGGTTTACTAATGGTTAGTAATGACTTATCTGTTTATCTTGTAAATGTTGCATTGTTGAAATTATCACCTAGCATCTAATTGGTGTATTGCTGCAGAACTTTGCTTTGTAACTTAGAATCAAGTAAGGAATATTGACTGTTGCATATTGTACTGAAACGATTGGTTTAATTATCCATCTGTAATGTCTGCAATTGCTTTATGACAAAATAACAAAAATTGTTATGGATGAGCAAGATATGCTAATGTTTTTTGAGTAGATTTATTTTGTTTTATGTAATGAATCTGATGACAAAAATCAGAACGTTTTGTTAAAACCATCACTTAGCTCAAGTTCTCATTGGCTTCCTCTAGCCAAAGAATTTTTTATTGCTGCTAAAATTTCTGAGGCCTTAGTAATGCAGGCATTTTACAACTGTTGGATTAAACTGGTTTGGTGCAATAGAAAAAATAATGGAGATATTACTTTATGGATTCTGACCATATTCTGGTAACATGCAAGCTTTTATTGCAAACTTTCAGTCATGTTATACCTTCATATGTTCTGTTTGTTTCTTGCTTCAGAACAAGCATGGATTTATTTCAGGATTTACTGAACAACGGTAAACAAAGTAGTTATTAATTAGGAGGGCATCTCTTATCTCCTTGTCAGTTACCTACTCTTTCCTGACATAAAAATATAGTTTATCTAAGAAAAAACAAGTTTCAAGTAGTTAAACTGTATTCATAGGTTGAATAATTATATTATATGTAAGGTAAGAGCTACTTCTTACTGAAACTGTCACATGTATCTTGATTAAAAGTAGATAAATGTCTTTTCTTACTTATTTTAATCCAGAAAAGGTCTATTTTCATGTGAAAGATAATCTTTTAAAAAATACTTGTTTTCTGATAATTCCTTATGATGTTGGGGAATTATGATAGCCCTTACAAAATCCTCTTATTTTCCAGATGGTGGTATAATTTTAAAATTCTACTTTGTAGTAGCTTTGCTTGGAAAAGCACAGACCTCAACAGTGTTTGTTTTCTTTATACTTTATACTCTGAGTATACTCCAGGAGACTTATATTTAGGTCTTTCTTTACTTTATATGATTGTGATGCTAATTACTACTGAACATGAACATCCTCTATATAACAAGAAAATTATGTATAAAATTTCCCTAAGCTACACTGTCAACTTCATAAAAAAAATATTTGAAATCCAAATCTAAAATACTAGAGAAATTTTCTGGAAACACGCATTTTATTCTGGAAAAAAAGCATTCTTAATTTTAAAAATGACAATTTTTACCTAAACCATGTCACATTTGTGACAAGACACAAACTGCTCTTCTCATTTTGGCAGCTTGCTACTTATTGAAGCATATAAATATCAATAAAAGACATTAAATGAATTTTAGGCAAACCATATCATTATTTTGTTATTCAAACTTAAAAAAAAAAAAAAAAAAAAAAAAACAGCATAAACCAAAGATGAAAATGATACCTAGTTAATTTATGACTTCCCCACTGTACTTCTGAAAATATTTTGTATTGCTTCTCTTCCGTAGTATTTACAGTCAAACACATTAATTTCTCTGCACTGGAAAAAAAAAAATATTTCCATTTTGACAGTGCATAAGCACATGAAGTTTTACGATTTTCCTATTTGTTAAACTATCTTTTTACCTATTTTGAACTGCATGTGTGTAGGGCATCTTCTATAGGTGGGTGAGAAGCGTAGACGAGAGAATAACGTGGGTGATACTTACATCCTTTCACATGAGTTTGCTAGACTAGATGATTGTATCTGTCATTCAAGAACTTCCATCTAGAAGAGGAACAGATTGAATAGTTAGCTTCAGATGTCGTAAAGAACAAAATTACTAGTTACTGTGCTCTGAGATAGGTGGGATGTTATGTCATCTCATTATTATAATATTTGGAAAATTTGGATTTTTTTTTTAGACTTTCATGAACAATCCATCAGCACTAGTATTCTGGTGTTTTGTTCTCCCTCAGTGCAATTTACTATGTGCAAGGCACTTCAAGAAAATATTTTGTAGCTTTTTCAGAACAATAATTAATACTTTTAGTAATTTAGGAATGTAAATATCAATGTTATAAATATTCTAAAACTCCTGCTCTAGAACAATCCTTATAGTTATATCCAAATGAACTAAAAAAATGTTACGAATATCTTAGTTGGAGATGAAGTACAATAAGTAAAACCAGAGTTACTGAAATGTAGTACTTCCAAGACATCTTACCTTAATACAAAAGGTCTGATAGTCAAGAAGCTAGGGAACAGCTATATAAGCCACTGAATAGTCCGAATAAAGGCACGCAGTTCCATTACAGATCAAGCGTTGCACTAAGAATTCTGATGTAGATCAGCAAAACATTATTTGTTTCCCTAAGCAGTGGATCTAACGTTTTATTCTGCTTAGAATATTTATGTATACTATCTAACTCATGGTGTACAGTAAAGGATCAATTTTAATTTTGCTTGGTGTTACTACCAACAGTGACATGAGAAAATGATCACTGACTCAGGTAGCAGTACGTAGCACCTTGAAGTGGCTTGTACTGTTACTGGCATGAATATCATAGCTTAGATACATGTATATAAAGTGATGTGAAATCAGAAATATCCTTTATGTGTGTGTGTGTGTGTATATATATATATATATACATATATATATATATATATGCATATATATGCACTGGAATGGGCTTCCCAGGGAGGTGGTGGAATCCCCTTCCCTGGAGGTGTTCAAGGAACGTTTGGATGTTGTGTTGAGGGATATGGTTTAGCGAGAACCATTGTTGATAGGTGGATGGTTGGGCTGGATAATCTTATAGGTCTTTTCCAACATTAGTGATTCTGTGATATATAGAGTATGTCGTAATATCTATACTTAATACACATACCCATATTTCTAAGCAAATGCTCACTTGAATTTCTCGGTTATTTGAAATGTACATATGTACAATTCTTTTGTTCTAGTATGAAACAGTAAATACACTAATATCCTTGGTGCCCACAGCATTTTTCCAAATAGAACATCTTTTTTGAGTAGGAAAAATAAACCTAAAATAATGAGCATGAAGAACACAGTCCTTTGTTATTACCCTGCATTCTCATAAGTTTTGTGCACATCTGACAGAAATAGTTCTCAAGGAGCAATTTATTGTCAAGAACGCATGGCATGGCAGGAAGGGACCTTGAGAGGCTTGAGAGGAGGGCCAGTGCAAGCCTTGTGAAGTTCCACAAGGCCAAGCACAAGGCGCTGCACTGGGGTTGGGATGAACCCAAACATAGATACAGACTGGACAGAGAATGAATTGAGTACAACCCTGAAGAGAAGGCCTTGGAAAAACTTCCTGGAAAGAGAAATCTGGATTTCCTTAACATTTAGGTTATCAATTCAGCCTATTTTAAGAAAAGTATTACAAACACAAAGCCTAGAACATGCATGAAGCAGAAAAAGAAAGACTCAATAGCATTGACTGTCAAACCTTTTCTCAAAATCTCATTTTGAGAGGCAGGGGAGATCATAGTGCTCTACAAATCTGCTGTTATAAAATGTCAAGAATATAGAAACTAGCTGAAGCATGTGTCTCAAAGTGGGTGGAAAGGATGCCCTGATGCAAGATGAGCAACAGTTACTGCTAGGGCTGTTGTTCTTGGTTAGAGTAAACCAAGTCTTCCTGAGTGGCATGAACTTTTACTGATTCCATACATTTAGAAAATAATGCTCCTGTGCATAAGAAAAAGTACATTACGCTTGAATGAGTGCGTAGAGCTGATTTGAACAGAAATTGTATAGAAGTGTGAACAACGATCATCTAAATTGATTAGATGGACATGATTTGCATCCACTTACTGTTAAGTTAAGTAATTAAAGAGCTAAATTAAGATTCGACATGATTTTACTTTAAAAACTAAGCAGTTGGATTACTATCTCATTAGATAAATGTTCATGTCATGTACAATTCAACAGTAAGATTGGAAACAGCAATAAGAAGAAAACATTCTAAAGCTCAAATTATCATTGCCTAATATAAAACTTAAGAACTCAGACTCTCTCTCTCTGCTTGTTAAATGTTCTAATTGTTGTTTACTCACATTACTGCAAAGCTTGCTTGTTGTTATTGATTTTGTTTTTGAGAATTTCTTTGCATTTTGTGCCTATTGTGTTTTTTATTGTGCATTTTAATGCAAATGTGTTTCTAAGAAATGATTCTGTATTACCATAGGATTTTATTTAATTACGTATTTTTCTTAACAACTTTGCGACTCAAATCTACTCTGTGACTAAACAGACCTCTGTATCACACTTGGCTAAGTTACAAGATTATACTTGTTGATGAATGCACTTGAGTGCATCTAAATAATGTACCAACACAGATAAGACCTGTTCTGATTTAAATTTACACAATCTAAAAACATTCACATTGATGTATATGGATACTAAGCATACTACATAAATTAAGGAAAGTACCAACAAGTGAGAGAGTAGTCTATGGAATCTAACCTTCTGTGCAATCTTAAATCCTGCTTCTGGAAACTACTCAGTGATGACAGAACTCTGCATTCATGCAGAATCCTGTAGATTTTTTTGTGTTTGGGAAGACCAACAACTTAGCCTAAACTTCTTTTTACTGCTTAAAATGATACTCAACTCTTTGCTTGTTTTCATTAATCCACTTTGCTTTTAGTAGCAATCTTTATAACATGGATTATTAAAGGTAGAGGAAAAAAAATACTCCTTCAAAGAAAAGCAACAGATAATTGCATGAACATTGCTGAATATATGTGAAGATGCTACACCAAAGATGGAAGATGCATTTCCTAGACCTTTGAAAATAACTCATAGGGGACATAAAGTAATTAGAAATCATATTGCTATGATAAAAACAGGCAAGTGCACATCCTTTGACAGACTGCATGGACATATCTATTGAGATAGTTTTGAAAAGAGAAAACATTCTCTTAAATCCAGCTACTAATCCACGAACAGCCAAACCAATACCTACAGACATCTAAGCATATCTAGACTATTAGCTGTGAACTTTTTTCACCAGAAGTAATAGTGTTTACCTTGCCATCTCAAGACCTTATGGCAGGAATATTAATGAAACTAGGGCAGTAGTGAATTCTGTTTTGGATATGGAGAAAATGGAGCAACAGAATTAGCTCTCAAAAACATCTTTTTACTGCTTGCCTCCTAAATCACAAAGACCTACTTTTTGCTAGTTTTGCATAGGAAATGTAAATTGTTTTTGATTCTTACTATCTCAGCATATCCCTTGATGTTAAAAGGTATAGAGAAGTTGATCAATGGCTGTAAAGGATGTAATGTACTGTTCGTGCACTTCAAAAAAATATTCTGAATTGAGAAACAATTTACTTTATATACTTTGTATACTTTATATACACTGGGCAGTACCCTTTCCCAAGTATAAGTATAAGAGAGAATTATATTAACAGTTTTGAGGCTCTCTTTCACATTTCCTTAGTTTTTAGAACTTAAATTGATTTTGGTTTACTTTCAGAAAAAGTATGTCCTAATGATCAGTTAAGGGGAGCTATTTAAAGAGCAGAACATAATACTGCTAGTGGTGAAATGAGAACAACTGGATATTTGAACCAAACCAACCATGGGGATGCTGTATCAACCATCTGCAATTTGCTCTGGAAAAACTGACCCAAAAGTTCAGTTAAAATAAAAGAACTATGGCAGTTCATCATTAAGATTTTTAAGTATTCATCATCCTATTTTGACTCTACCTTTCTTGAAGTTAGTTACTAAATATAAACTTACCTATTGATGAAATGGTTCCTTTAGCATGAGAAAGATGTTTTAGCACAGGCGCTAGCTTAATGTTTGTGTACTGTTGTAATAACTATTTCAAAAAACAGGCTTCTATTAGAGTCTAGATGGAGTTCACTAACACATTTATTAAAAGCCACTACTGGTTACTTGAATCATCAGTTGAAAACAGTAGTATTGTGCACAATATCAACTGTAAGTATACTTGGTTAAAATGTACTTAAATCAAAGGCACTTTTAAATATAAGAAATCTAGCTCCTATAATCCAATGTTTTATATTTTTACACTGATCTTTCCTAAAAAGTTGCGATCTACAATACTATTTTTTCATCGAATACCCACTATCAACTTGTATTTATTTCTTTTTATATCATTTGTTGCAGATCTTTAGTATTGAATAATTCTGGTTCCAAATTACTTTTGCTTGATTAAATTTTCTCCTGCAGCCTGGCTGTCTCTACCTGATGTGTCTGACTCAGTAGCTGGGAAAGAAGTGTCTTCTATCAATCAATGACAGAAAGTGCTGAATCTGAAGATGCTGACTGTGTGCCATGTAGGGCAGGCAGACTGCTGATAGCAGTGTCAAGGGAAGTTTAAAAAAAAAAATTCTATGAGTGTTAAATGCCTTTCTAAAAGTTTTCAAAAGATTGACCAGGAAGTAGAATATATGCTCCTCAAAAGAGCAACCATATGAATAACTAAAGAATAGAACTTACAGAACAAAATTAAAAATTTCATTACCACTTACTAGGAGCTGAATATTCTATTAAAAAGTTTCATGATGCCTTCTCAATATTGTATGACAAATAACATTTAAATTATTCCACAGTGAACTGAACAGACATTAAATAAACACTACAACAACTGTTTAAGAGCTTTTAAAAAGAGATGAGTGTTTATAGTGATATGTAACTTTAGTAACAATTTTAGAGGTTACAACCAATTTCCATGGTGAACAGTGTTATCCATTGCTATGAGACTGTGCATATTATTCAACTTCATTGTCTAGTAACTAGCTTACATGTAGGATATGTGCAGAATGTCCTTTATAATAAAGCTATTATATGCCTTTACTAGCATGTTTAATTAAATATGTTAAACACATCCTGTCACAAAATATGAAGCTTTCATTCAATTGAAAGCCTGTAATTGTTCTGGTTAGGAGTGGGAATTCACATCAGTTTAGTGTCTTTCCTTTCCCAGTAAGGAATGAAGTTTTCTCTCAATATGAAAAAGTTACCTATACAAAGTAACTGATACTAGGAATTGCCATTCTAAGTATTGATCTTAGTTCTATTTTGAGATTCTTCTTTTTAAGCCATATTTCTAAAAATACTGGCTTCTTAATAAAATCTAGGGAGCTCCCTCATCAGAGAAGGGTTTGGCAAGGCCAAAACTACACAGGTAGTGCCAACAGAAAAAAGCCCTGTAGAAGAATAGGAACTGATTTTCTGTAAAGCCAATTGATTTGATAATTGTAGCTCATATTGGCAGACAAATTCAAGATGTCATTTAGCAGTGCTTTGTCAAGGTTAATGAATCTGCTTGTCTTTGGCTAGTATGAGCAACCTCACCATGGATCACAATTAGCTTCTCACAATCCTCTGTTGTTTGCACTGCACAGAGCAATGTACCATTTCATAGATACAAAACCACCTATTTTATGTTCTGCTCTAGACAATGGAACTTTAATGTACTCTTGACAAATGGGCTGCACTGAGTTTCTAACATGCAAACTCAGAGTTTCTAAACAAAAAATTTATTTAGGCAGCAGAAGGCCCACAGGCCAAAAGCTGATAAAGAGTTCTGATGCAGAGATTTAAGCTGAGCATTATTTTCCTTGTGTTAGTTTGTGTTCTGTTCAGGATCATTGTAGATTTTCATAATAGGACTGTGGAGTTCCAGATGAATCATTTTGCTCTGCTCATGATCTAATTCCATGATTTTGTATTCTTTAATTAAAATTGTAATCCATGCTTTTATTTAAGTATATTCCATCTACACGGTTTTCTGATGGAGTAATCGCTGTTGAGTAGAAGAATCTGACACTTTCACTTTCTGGGTAACATTCTTTAAAAATATGCACAAAACTAGCTAACTATCTTCCCCCCATTTTAAAATTAAGTAAATTATAATAATAAAAAACTTTAAAACCTCAGAACTGAATTTTTGCTTGTTTCTAGAAACAATAAATTTTAATATAAAAATCAATGTTACTATGTTCTCATATACAAAAATTGCTGGAGTGTTCTGTTTATAGGCTTATATTTTTGATCAAATACTTAGATGTTCATTAGATTTTTTCCTTGCATATTTTATCCCAGTTCTCTACAAAACATATTTCATTTTTAAACATGTTCACAGGAACCATACATAAAAATCATCAAAAGTTGGTTGGGGGAATCAAAGAGGATTTAACCTGACCTTTGTGTTGAAATATTTCTAGCTTTTATTTTATAATCACAAGAGTCAATGATGATAAAATTAATATCATGAAGGAACAATCTTGCAAATCACCGGGTTACTTCTAGGTGATACTACTAATATTCTAAACTCTTCCTTTGTTACATAAGTTCATATTGCACTTTCTGAAAGATATTACAGATCCATAGTACGGATTGATCAAGAAGGATTATCAGATATGGTGAAATATGGAACCTTATAGTTCATAATTAGAAATATCTTTAATTGTGGTCTTTGTCGAACTTCAGTGTTGATTTATTTCTCCTGATATTAGCTTAGCCACTGAAGGCTTTGGTAATATGTTTTAAACAAAACAAAAATAATTATCCTAAAATATGTGACATAAAAATGTAGCAATTCATGCTGGCTGCAACTTCTGTCACAAATTACTGTGTTTTACAATTTGATGTAGCAAGTAAGTGAACAAATACAATTAAAAATAGAATAACATGCTTTAAAATGCATTTATTCATTTGTTTGACAAGTATAATTTTGTTATGATAGTACTTCATAGTATACATATAAATGTTTAACAGTGCATTCGACAAAAGTAATGTAGTTTAAGTAATGCAAAATTTCATTAAAATACAATTACAGCATCTTCATCTGAAATATTTCTATATTTCTGAAGTATGCAAGTATATAGATGAGTAAGCAATGAATTAAGAATTTACCAAAATAATGAGAAATACATATTGCACATGAAAAAAAAAATATCAAAACTCATTTATCTTTCCACCCACCACTGGGATAACTTGTTCATTCAATTTTAAGATTAGAATTTGTTCCATATGTTCCCTGCATTATTTATAATCTTCTGAACTAAAATGCTGCTAGTAGTTCCTCTCTCCTAGTGTGAAATCATTGCTAAAATGAACACGTTAAGCACAGAAGACAGGCTGAAAAATACCAGTAAATCCTTTGTGGACAGTGAGCTTTTTTGGTTTGGTTTTTTTTTGGTTGTTCTTATCAAACTTTTTCTAATAGTAGGAAGAGAATGGGACTGTTAAAGTTTTCTCAGGGTAGGTCTGAAAACATGACCATTTTAGCCTTCTCTGAAAATTCATCACTTTCAGTTGGAAAAGGGTGCAAAATAAAGTGGCAGAAAGCAGGCACAGATATTGGAGAAAATACATTCTGTGTTCAAATAGAAATGTTTGGAAGAAAAAATGTTGAAACAGTCTTTTTTAAGAAATGTCTACAATACATTGTCATCGTTACTCAAACTACAGAACATTCCTAGAGCAGAGGTAGGGGATTTTAATATGAGAGGATAAATGAACCTTTCAAAATGTTTAAGTAAGATTAAAACCTGGAGGAAAAAAAAAAAAAAGCTGTGTCAGTTAATAAAAAATATTTTTTTTCTTCCATGTTCCCCAGTAAGCACCAAACTATGGTTTCACGTCCTTGAAAAACTCTGAATATAGAAATTTCTGCTGGAGCAATTCGAATGAATGTCGAATTAGCATGAGTAGTTTAACCGCTTATTGAGTTAGACATACCAATTTAAATGCAACAAGGATAAATATAGGACAGCAAATAATTTTCATTTAGACAGTTGTATTAACTGGTAACACAGGTTAGCTCACGCTTATCTTCCAGTATGTTCTTAGGGAAAAGTGAGAATTGCGATACACAGACAAGAGTGTGTAGTGTGTATTGGTACACATAAGTAGAAGAAAAGTACGCATTTTGCAATAAGTGTTAAATAATTAATTAACACAATTACCTCTGACTCAAATATTCTTCAAATTTAGGTCAGAGCTCTTGGGCTCCAGTACTAAAGGAATGGCATAGGATTTGCTCAATGCCTACAAACACTGGGCAGTTTATGTTGAACTACCATTTTTTTTGTAGTCCAGACCTGAAATTCAGTACCAGAAACAGGTTTTGGTTTAATTCAGAAATTCCTAGTTTATTTAAAGCTCTAATATTCCCCCAAAATGCATTTCTTAGCATGTTGCTTGGATTCATTCATGGAAAGACTTAACTATTCTCTTAAGTCCAACTTCATGCCATCTGAAGATAGTGACTGGGGAAAAAAACAGTTATTTACATAAATTTGTTCGGCCACTTTTATGCACAGTTCCATTTTAAACTGTATTGATTTCTATCACCTCTGCTAGGTTTCCTTCAGCTAATTCAATTAAGTAAAAAAAAAAAAACAAACACTGACAACTAGACTTTCACAAAGGAACAAAATTATTGATCAACATATTTTAATAGTGCTTGTATTCACTGGAAGAAGTAAATGGCAGTTTGAACGTGTTCTTTACTCTAGAAGTTACTGTGATAAGAAAAATGACATTATCTAGAGCTATTACACGAGTGGTGCAAACTGCGCTTCTTATCCAGTTCCCATTAATGTCAAAAGCAATGTTGATATCACTGTCACAAGGTCAATTCTTTCAGGGGAAAGCCTGGTCCTTCCCAAATCAGCTGAAAATACTCAGTCAGAATATTTTACCCTTCTTTAAGGTACTGTTGACTAAAGGAATTTTCTTAAAATAGTTCACAACAGTTTCATGGTTTGGCTTTTTTACAATATAGCATCTCCCCTGTTCATTTCCTCTTGAAACAGGGTAAGCTTCAAAAGTGAAGGACTGCAAATACGTGTCACAGTAACCAGGTAAGAACTTGAAGCTACTCTGTTCTGCACCCAGAAAAACATTGTCTAATATGTGTTTTGTTTTTAGGCCAGAAAGAAATGGAGGGGAGGACGTTGTTCCTAAAAGGCATGAGAAAACTCAAGTCAATGAATAGACCTTGGGCAAAGAGGAGGTAGGATGGAGCATAAAACAGTGTACTTACATCTTAAAATTCTAGAAGTTAGTAATATATGCTTTCACTATGACGTGTATAGACTTAAACAAGAGATATGTTACCATTCTTCACACTCTACTCTTCCCAAAAAATCTACAGCTTATCTAGACATTTCGTGCAGGTCTAGTCACAGAAAAAGGTCATCTTAAGGAAGTTCTGAGAAGCTTAATCTATAAAAATTAACATTTAGTATTTTACCTAAATATTTTTCTCCTTCCTCAGTAATTATGAAAAATTAAGACACCTCCTCTGAAGAAGAAAAATATCCCTTGGCAGTCACAACTGACCTCTGGAGAACCCCATTCCCTTTTTCTCCTTATGGTATTATAATTAGGAGTGAAGATGGACAGGTAGAACAATTACAAGATTATTTTCAAATACTTGTCCCTATTTCTTACTTACTTAAAAAAAAAAAAAAAAAGAAAAAAAAAGAATGTATTATTTATTGTGTTATTTATTTTTTTCTTTTAAGATGAAATACATTTTTAAAAGAGTATGTTGTATTTTCATTTGTGGGGGGATGTAAGCAGTCAAATAGGCAAGAATGAGAAAAACATGAAAACCAAGGAAGTGCATATGTGTAGCCCTATGGATCTTAATTTACTCACAGTTTTGTCGTCTTGTAGTCTGGTTCATAGTGTCATGGTATTCGTGATGATAGCTCATTTAAGTCCACATTTCTGTGAACATTTCCACTGATAATCACTGGCTCATACAATTTCTCCTGGGAAATATTTCAATCCCTTTTTGTTTTTTTTTTTGTTTTGTTTTGTTTTGTTTTTTGTTGTTTTTTTTTTTTTTAAGCTCTCTGCTCCTTCAGAGTTTCCAGCAAGATTTCTCTACCTTTCTCGACTCTCTATGCATTAATTAATTCATAGAAATATTTGCTCATAAAAAAAAATAAAATCCTATTCTAAATAGAGTGATGCATATTAATTTCTCTTGCTGTGTAGGTCTGATTAGTAAAGATATTTTGCAAGCACCTATCACTCTTGTAAAATTTCAGAACTACTTGTAAGAATGATGATATAACATTGCTTTTCTATCAAAAAGTTCTTCCAGGGAGTCAAGCAAATAAGCAGCAAATCAATAAGAACTTAATATTTAGTTGTCTTATGCATTTTAGCTGTTTGGACAAACAGAGAGACATTTCTAGTCATTCAAGGTAAAGTTACATTTTCAAATCCAATCTCTTTTCCAACAGGGAAGAAAATACTCTTGAAGGTGAAGTCTTCAGTAGCAGTAAATTTGACACCATTTTTATATAATTTACTAAAAAGTATCCCAATCAGAGGCCACAGGGAAACCATTCTGTTAATTTATTTTGCAATTCCACTCCTCCCCTCTCACAAGAGGAGGCATGAAGAACCAGTTTATAACTGCATTTTCAATTTGAGTGTTTGAAAGGTTATTCTACTTAAATGCAGTGCGTGTGTAAACAGCATGTAAATCCCTCATGGCTCTCTTCCTAGCTTAGTCCTAGCTGCAGGACAAGAGAAGAGAAAAATAAAAATGCTCATACTTAGTGAGCACTTACCTTTGTTTGTTAAAGAAATCTAATTCAGAAAATAAGGGAATTTTTATTTTGAGTGTAGAGTCAGATCTGGAAAACAAAGGCAATTTGTCAGTAAATATATAAACAATAGTTGGATGTATTTTTAATGGAAAATATGTGAAATCAGAAGTGAGATGACCCAATCCAGACTTTTCTGTACTGGTACAAAGCCAGGATAACACTGACTTTGATCATCTTCTAGACAACTATTATCACTCATGATAATAAATATGAAATAAATGCCGGTGGTTAAATATCACAG